CCGAACTTACAGCGGCTTCCAATATATTCTAAAACAAGGTCTTAAAACAGTTCTACTGTAAAACTTTCAGCGTAGATTGTTGACAGATCAAACTGTTACTAACTTTAAGCAAACAAGAACTTAAAATGTTTGTGGATGTATTGAAGGGTGACTACCTCTGTTATATCATCTACAACCGCTAGATGAAGTGGAATCGGCTGAGTGCAGAGGATGCCCAGGAGATGACGAGACGCTGTACATTAACTTTGCGAATGGCCGACCTTCAGCCGATTGAGACAACACATCTTTTACGGCGCCCCTGCAATCAACCAAACGATGGTGGGCACACATAATTGGAAGAAATAAGTTTATTAAATCGAGTAAAATGCACATAAGAGGATGGTTAGACTTTGCGAAGCACAATAAGCTCAGGCACGTTTGCTTACAATCAACCAACCAACCAACCAACGCACAATTTATTTGAATGTTTGAGTCACTTATTCGCTACTCTAAGACTTTCACGAAAATGTCGATATGAATGTCTGGAAGTTAGCCAAACGAATCGCATCTTATGCTTATTATTATTTACACTTAAGTTGAACGCATTTATGAGAATAGTCTGTAACCAGCAGCACGGTCTTGACTTATATCCAAATCATAGTAATTTTTATTAATCTCTCGGTGATTTTTTCCCGTAAGGAAAGTATTATAGTTTGGGAGCTTGCAGTGTCGTGATGGAGAGTGATCCGTCTTGGTTGGTTGGCTAATTTCATTTTCGACAGGTCGGTCTTAAGTCCACATCCCGAGAGAGGAGTGATATCTCTGATAATCTAAGCAAAACTTTTCTAGAACCATAGAAACAAACTGAATGACTGACAGGTATGCTGGAATAATATCTATATTGGTGATTAAATGTACAGAAGGAAAATTGTGTACCGAATTTACTTTTTTAAAAGTGTCCGTTTAAAAGCTGCAACTACTGTATTATTCTCCTAGATACTGAAATAATACTGAATAAACTAGTATCTAGACTGTCATTTACAGCTTAATGTACATACACATTTAATATATTTACATATTATATATATATATACATATTATTTTATATTTAAATAACTAGTTCGTGATTGGAGCACAGAGTTTTGCTCTACTGCCCATATTATTGTTGACTTCACACAGTTCATATCCGCAGTATGTGCTGCATTGTAAATATAAATCCCAATAATTTCAGACCGCTCGTGAGTGAGATATGTACATATATGTAATTTATCTCCTTTGCATTTACTTTTCGTTTATTTAAGAATGAAATTTAATTGAGGAGGTGTTGAGGACTTTCATGCTGCAGAGTATTAATTTTAAAAATAAAACTCAAATTTTGTTGGCCAAATTATCGTCAAAGAAATTCAAATTATAGGGCTTTACCAAGCCGAAATATTAAGTTAAATACCTTCTAAATAGTTTCTGAAATAAATATTCATTTGTAATTACAGTCAAATCGTCTTTTTATTTTCTGCTTCATGGCAATCTTTTTTAATATAATCTTTATTTAAAAAGAGAAACACATACAAAGGAAGTGTGCTTTTAAATAAGCCAATACTTTTTTTCGGATTTGGTCTTTCTTGACAGCTGTTACTTGATTTATATTCAGTTTGGTTTGCCATTTCATAATGAAAAGACTCACAGTGGAAATTCTGCAAATTTATTATAAAATTCAAGCAACCGTGGATCGGTTTCATACAACATTTACTCTAGTGTATAATATGAACTCTCAGAGACGTCGTGAATCAGAGTATCGAAGCAGACCCGTATAAGTCGAACCACAAAAGCGCGCAACAATTGGCGTTGTGTCCATCCAATTTATGGAAGATTTCGCAGAGGGATCTTGGTTTGCGGACTTAAAAAATACAACTAGTGCAAGAACTGAAGCCGAACAAAATGAAATTGAAATCGATCACGATTTTCACAAGAAAATTTTGTTCCGCGATGAAGCTTAGTTTTGGTCGATAATCTCCAAGCCATTATTGGGAGGCTTTTGCATCTTCAAAAATTCACCGTTTGGTTTGCTTTATAGGCGGTCATAATGTTATAATCAGTGGGGAGATAGATATATAGAACCATGTTCATGACTCCTTCATGCGGAGGAATTTCCATTAAGGCGATGCTAAATGATATACCGCCGGATTATTTTAGTAAGGATATGTGAAGTCACTTATATACGCTGCTATGTCCGATACGAGAATATTCGCTGCAAAAGTATCCAAAATTCGCCGAAATCATTTTTGATACCTTATGGTAACCCCCTATTTTTACAATAAAGCTAAATTCTTGGCCATAGCATTAATTGGATGCGTTGTTTTTTCTAGTTAAAATCTTTGTCCAAAAAAAAAACTTTAGATAATATGAATTTATCTGGATAATATCTTCATAAATATTGTTGTGAAAATGCGAGGCAAATGTCAGATGAAAGAAAGGAGCCGATAACTAGTACATTCTAGAACGATAAAACAAGAACCTTCGATAACGAACAACTCGATTATTATATAAGGGCGACACTCAGCTGCCAAGAAGTCAGTTACAAAGTGAACTCGTTGCCGACAACATCGGTATAGAGTCGTAAAGTAAACGCGTTGGAGATTAAGTAAAGTAAATAGTGAACGTTTATGCAAGTTATTGTAACTAATAAAGTGCATTGTAATTGAATTGTGAATTACTGAGTAAATAAAGGACATTAGATAAATTCTTTATAACGAATAAAACTGCAAATTAAGTTGGAGAGTTTTTATTTAACAATCCAGAGATCATACCCGAAGGATTCAGAAAATCATCGAGATTGATTCAGCAAAATCGTAACAATATATTAGAATTTATCCTTTATTTTGGGTTAATTCATTAGTACAATAATATTCAAGCTTTTATATAACAACAACGCTAAATATCGATAAATTAAAATCAGTATTCTGCGTTTACATCTTACATTAAATTAAACAGATGTAAAACACAGATATAAACAGCTACATAAAAAATATAGATGAATATTGTTTCTCTTTCCTGCAACTTACTACCTAGTTTCTGGCAACTATACTAAATCAGCTATTCTGTACACTTGACCTCATATTTTTTTATTCGGCACTTCTGTACTGTAAACTTATTTTTTGATACTGCCTCTGGTTTCTATTCTATTTGCTGGTATCCGGTTCGGCAATCGGAAGCCTAATAAAAATTATTTATCTCGATACCCATAGTGCTTTGGACATATACATTATTTACTTTGTCTACCACCCGATATTGGTTAGCTCATATCAGTCACACTAAATATTGTTTGAGGTATTTGTTCCCAGTATTCCGCATTGAGAAATTTGTTAACTGACGCTGAGCAATATTAAAAGATCTGTCGAGATCTGGAATGTCCTCTCCGAGCCGTTCGCTGACAAGCAAGGTTTTAGATAAGGTGATTCCTTATAGTGCGACTGTAATAGATGTAGCTGGAGAAAATAGTATGCTCCAGAGCTAAACAGGGAGGGCACAATCTTCTATGAAAGAATACAACTCCTGACTTATGCCGATGACAAATCATTGATACTTTCCTGTTTTGACTTCCATGTTACATAGTTGCATATCTAGGAAACCGAAAAGTAAATTCTTCTCTGGACAATCAAAAACCAAATTCTACGAATTACTGATCACTTCCAGCCTATTAAAAATACCGCAGAGAGTGAGACAGCAATTGCGCTGGATAAATCACTGTTAAAAGTTTAGACACGCTAACCACCGGTGGAAGTAGAGGAAGATGATGTCTTTTTGGAAAGAGTTGGAGAAGAAACTGGCTTCACTTGGCACGATGCGATGAAGAGAAGAGACAACTTCCGTGCTTTTGCTTACTCAATCTCGATTGCATTAGCAACTCAAGCCTAACTATATTAGATAATTAGTCTTTGAGATATCGTCAACCAAGTAATATAATCGGGAGTGAAATATGAAATACTGAAAAAAATCTAATATCGTGCCATTATAAAGTTCTTTATCAAGTAAGGAAGTCAGTTTGGACCATAATGAATGAGATGTCATTGGATAACATTGATTATTGCCCGGTTATCGCTTGAAGATTATCCAAAATGTTTAAACAATTGTCCTTCACGATGTTAAACTAAAGAAAAAATTGTCAACTTAGCATGACTATGCTCGCTCCCTCCTACGTACTAAATATAATAGGAGCTTTATAAGCGCTGAAACGATATTCAGCCGAACTCCGGCTCAGATTTGTGGTATGCTTGATGCTTTTCCAAAGAATACAGGGACAGGGAATACAACTCGAAAATCTACTTGGAAGTCTGGAGAATAATAATAAGCCCAAAGAATTCCCTCCACCCGCCCAACTGACACGTGAGGCGACATCCGCATAACGTACGGAATAAGTCGAGTCATGACTGGGAAATGTTTGTTAAGCGTCGAGATTTAAAACTGTTCAGCTATAAGAAAATAATTATTCAGCAGCTGAAATAATGTCACCAGGTTTTGCTGAGTGTTTGGTGAGATTGGCAAGGAATCATCTACTACGAGCTGCTCCTCTATGGTCAAACACTCAATTCGGCCCTCTACTGCCTACAAATGGACCGCTTGAAGGCAGTACTCATCCGAAAGAAGCCATCTTTGATCATCAGAGTCCGAATTGTGTTCCATCAGGACAACCCCAGGCCACACACGTCTTTGGTGATGCGCCAGAAGCTCCAGGTGCTCGGATGGGATGATGCCCCCACCTTATAGTGCGGACCTGGCATCTAGTGATTACCATCTTTTCCTGTCCATGGCTAACGCGCTTAATGGTGAGAAGTTAGCCTCAAGAGAGGCCTGCGAAATTTGGCTCTCTGAGCTTTTCGCCAATACGGGCGTAGCATTTTATGTATTAGTCGGATCGGGACTCGAACCCCGGCGACAGAAATATTGGTAGGGGGGTAGAGAAATTTATGTAATAGAAAAACATTTCATTTAAACAATTAATTAATTTCCTTCTCTTATTCCTTTAGGCTTTTTATGTGCAAAAATCAGCAGCAAAACTGAAAGCCAACATATAGAAATTATTTAGTTATAAAACACGAACAGAATGGATGAGGACCACGACGACGACGTAATATGAAATCAGATGGGGCTGTAAAGCCCCACCATAAAGCATACGTCTCCACTGCTGTCGGCAGTCGTAGTAAAGACGCTGAGATAAACAAAACAAGCAAATGCTAATGAATGAATGAATGTGAGGAAAACTCAACGTTCGTGTCGACAATTGTTATCGCTTCAAATACTCACTGTTGCTGCCGCTGTTATCACAACTGCCGCTTCTGCTGATGCTTTCGTGAATGCCGTGTTCTCGTCGATGCTGTCGCCAAAGTTGTCATTGCTGATTAACAAGAGTCGTTATTTTCGCACTGCGACTATGCCAGGAGAGTATTAGCAAAGGGAAATCGAATAAGGCAATAACTGAATAGTAAAAGCAACAAAAACAACTATATTAACAACTTCAAACAAAAAAAAAAAAAAAAAAAACACGAAAAAGAAAAAAAAACGAACACAAATAAAAACGATGCACGCAATTGTTGAGCGATCGAAACAATCGCAACGCTAAAAAAAAATCGCGAAAAGATAAACATTATAGCAGAAATATTAAAAAAGTGTAGTTTATAAAATTCGTCATCAAAGTAAAAACGAATATTCAACGTACTCTACTAAAGCTTTAACACAAAATAACGAAAACACCGATTTTAAGGATAACCGTCGTAAAACTATAAAATGGCCAGCCACGTCAATACCAAAGGAATGAATCTGATGATTTCGAGTAGTTCACCACTAAGCAACCGCGATGACGGCGCTAAACAGGCTGATGATTTGTCCATGACCGGCAAATACAGCAGCAACAGCAGCCAGCCAGCAAAGCCCACTAACAACCGTGACGCATTCCTAGCATTGCCATTTCTAACGTTTTTCTGGCTAACAGTTTGTGGTTTTGCAACATCTTTACTCAATATTCAATCGTTTGCTGCAAAAATGTTACGCATACAAGAATCGCTAGTAATGTGTGGCATCGGCACCGCTGGCAATGGCAATAATAACAATCAGCAAAGTGTAAAGTCAACTGTGGGCTCACCATTAGTGCCATCATGCGGTTTGTGGCAGCATGTGCCAGTGCGAAAATCATCGCCACAATTACCGCCAACACTCACGGCTACAGCAGCCACTTCGTTGGTTGCAAGTAGCTTGTGCTCAACTAGATCAGACTCGGCGTCGATTTCTGTCCTGCAGCCGCGTCTCTCTTTCACACTTTCCTCTTTGTTGTACGTCACTTGCATACTCTTTCTATTGCCGACAGTGCACAGCGATGATGGCGATAATTTCTTCTTGGTGAACACTTTTAGTATGAGTCCGGAAACTACAACGCCACAATTTGGTGAGTAGCTTAGTGACACCTGAAGAGGTGTGTTAGATAAGATATAATTAAGTGTGGGTAAAAATCTTTGAATTATTGTTTTTGTGCTCAGAATAATTTAGTCTATGTATTTGCTAATTATTTATATTTTATTCAAATCGATAATTTATCACGAAAACTCATCACCTTGAAGCTCATAGCCTTCGTTTTCCTGTTCTGGTGCTAACCGTGCTTTGTGGCTTAGAAACAACTGGATGGTCTGAAGAGCTAATGAAGCACTCGCCCATGAGAAATTTAATTTATTATAAGGTTGTCAAATATCCGCTTTTTTGCTCTTCATTCAGTGCTTTATAAAAAGTGCTACAGTGAACGGATTTAGCTAAAATATGTTTGATGATCTGTTTCCATCGGAGGGTTGAATTAAACATGATTTTGCTTTGAAAAGCAAGCTTTTAGGTTTATTTGTGCCTTCATTTCAAGTAGACTGTTCCCTCTTCATCGGTAACCGGGAATGCGCTTTCACCTAATTTACAGAATAATTTCATTTATTTTCTATTTTATGCTCTTTATTTAAACAAAATCCAAAAAACCACATCCAGAGATGTTACACATTTTCATCAGCTTGATTAAATGCAGCTCCTTTCTGCAATGGTATGCCAAATCTGATTTCACCACTAACTAGCTGTACCCCGGTGTTGCCATAATTGATCATAAAAAAAAACTTATTAAAACTGAAAAAGAAATCAAATTTTTATATAAAATAAAATTTGTTTTTCCATGAATGAATTTGCTGGAATGAAGTCATGTCCAACATACTCGTACAACATTCTAACCCTAGAGGTGTTTTTTGAGTGAGTTCTGGATACAAACTGTTGAACACATTGAAGAAACTTTGTCTTTGTATTATAAATATATTTGGGAAATTATGTATGTACATATATTTTACTTAGGAAATAATTATAATTTGCTTTATCCAGCACTCGTATGTTGTATTCAAAGCGAATCGCCTCTTTAATTCTCAGCTAATTATTATTTTATAAGAATTTATTATTATATATATACATATATATATATGTACATTATTTAATGTAACATTTCCTGGCAAGCTGTGAATTCCTTTTCATACTGAAATGCCGGCGTAGGTACCATTCCGCATCGTAATCTTGTGCGCCCCTCACGGTCGCTGCTTTGAATCGCATTTAGCGATAAGAGCGGAACTGTGCATTGTTAGCTAGCAATGTTTAAACAAAAAAAAAATTCTGTTAATTATAACAATGCAGTCTTGTTGTGTATGTACATACATATGTTTTTAATTGTGAACCTATTGTGATGAATATAAAATGCTGAGCGAAATATGAAAATATAGGGTGATCCATTTCGTGGTTTCATGGTTTCATAAGTACAGGGTTGCATTAAAGTTGTTAAAACTTACTGCAGAAATGGAGTGGATTATGGTGCATATAATCGTCCAACTACTTAAGCAATAAAAAATTTTAAGAAAGCTGAAGAGACCGATTCGGTTACAAACATCGAAAAACCTGTTCATCATCGTTTTGCCACTAAAAATTTCACTACTAATTTCATAAATAAGCAAAATTGTCCCATTTAGTGCTCTGAGAATAACTAAATAATTATAAAGAGATCTTACTATCTGGTAGCTCTTTAGTCTGAAGGCGGGATTGGACTTTACTCCTTCGAAAACGACAACGGCCTGACTTGGCAGTGGCGATTTGGAGTGTTCTGGTCGTATTGTAACTGAGTATCATATGGATTGGACAATACGAGTATGTGTTCTCAACAAGATGGTACTACATTCAACACAATACATGGCCGCCTCGTAATTGGAAGCCAACACTCACCGAGTTACAGCTGAGATACCATCCAATATATGTCAAAAAGTGATCGAAAATTACCTCAAAATGATCAAAATTTGTAAAAATTCGCAAAAAATTCGCCAGTCGGTCATTTGAATGATGGTAAAGTTACGTTCATTTTCGAAACCGCAATATGGGTAACCCTGTAATATACATAAATACATATATATCCAATAATTTTTCTATACAAGTATATGTATATGCTATCATTTGGTATTTTGAAAAAAAAAAAAAAAAATTAGGTCAGTTTGAGCCTAAGCAGTCTTTGCTTATGTTGCTGTGTTTGATTGGTTGGTGGCGGCTTTTGTGGCGACAATAAGTCGTTATAGAATCCTGTAGCTGCTTGCGGGTGGTACAATGAATAGTAAGCCATTAGGATGGGGTTGAATATTAACTTGTTGGATGTGGAAAAAGAAATTACTAAAGCAGTGTTCGCTAAAAGTGGCTTAGAAAAAAAAAAAATACAAATACAAATTCGAGAATTTTGACGCATGAAAAATATTGTAACCTGGAGAAGGAAAACACCACTCTTTTAATACACACGTCACGTATGTGTAATAAATATGTAGATTATAATATAATTTTGGTATTATAAATGTTTTTAATGTAACAATAATCCATCATTAAAGGCAAAAATAAATTTTATATTTTTAATTTTTAGTAATATATATATACATACATACACATTTTTAGAATAATTTATATTCTTAATGTCTATTAAGCGTGATTCATTTATATTTTTATCCCTTAAAAACATTATTTCGTTTCAATTTTTTTAACGCGTCAACAAAGTTTTCATTTAAATTTTGTATTGTTTTTGCCCTGTTATAAACAAAAATACATATATATAATATGATGATTAGCAAACATATGACGAACAATTATTATCAATGTCAATGTGTGTATTTTCCAATAATAATAAAAATTAAATATAATATTAATTTTGATAAAATTTTTTCAAAGAGAAAATAATAAAATGATGATAAGGCGATCGGTATAGAGACATACAAAAATATTTTAAATCTTTCTTAGGAATGTTATTACAAAGCATTTACTTGTCTTAATACGAATGATAGCTAATTATTATATATGCATATATATATGTATATTGTATATATGCGTAAGGGTTCTTAAGATAAGTCTTCCGGTAAATATTGCATTTCTATGATTAAAATGTTATATATTATAAATACTGTGACAAAAACAAAAAAATGCATATGACATGCATTACAATAACGTAAATTAGGAAGGATTTAAAAGAAAAATCAATGGTATATTTCTACTTTATATAAATTTCGTCTTCCTATTTCAATGATCTTAAAAATATTTTTGCTAATCATATTTTCGGAGGACTGATTGACAACTGCGTAGGTACCATTTGCTCGTTATTTTGAATTAATATGACCGAATATCAACTCCAAAATAATTTTATTTTAATCCAAGTGAAAATATTTAGGTGAAACTCGGTACGTTGAATTCGAAAAAATATTTAGTTATGATTTGTAATAGTCAATCTATGTTTGAGGTTTAAAGTCCAGAAATGATTAATACTGCTGTTACCCTCATTTGTAGGAAAGCAAATTTAAATACAAATATTACTTAAATACTCTCTTCCAATCTTTTTTTCGTGCAAACTACAGTGACAAAATCGCAGTCCTCAAGATTTTCAAATTTTGACAATCACCTCGTTGAATTAATGAAAAAACTTGAATTCGTTGTCATAGTAACTTCACCTTGTTAAATTCGCCTTAATATCCTTCAATGTAGATAGACTTCAAATTTTGCCTTTGCGATCAAATATTTTATTTATTTTTTTTATAGATATAAACATTTTTTGTTTAATTCAATTTTATATTGTTTTATTTAATTCAATTTAATTTTATAAATTTTTTTTTTAATTTCATATTTTAGTTATAATTTGTATTATTTTATTTTACTTTATTTTATTTAAAATTCTTTTTAAAATAAATAAATAAATTTTTAAACCAATATTTTATTTATTTTTTATTTAAAATCTTTTTATTTAACCCAATTTCATATCGTGTTATATAATTTAATTTAATTTTAAAATATTTTTATTTAATTTAATATTTTAATTTTAAGTTGAATTATTTTATTTTGTTTTCTTTTATTATGTTTTATATTAATTAATTTTATTTACCATTATTTTATTTAAAATTCTTTTTAATATAAATAAATTAATTTTTAAACAATTTTTTTTATATAATTTTTTTTAAATTAAATTTTTTTAAATTTTTTTTGCTTTGCTTTTTCTATCTTTTTATACTGTTTTTTTTTAATTATTTTATCTTATTTAAAATAATTTAGGTTAAATTAGTTTAAATTTTTCATTTTAAACTATTTCGTTTTGTATTATTTTGTTTCGTATAATTTTATTTAAATTTTTTTATTTGGATTTAAATCTATTTCCGAAATACGCAGAAATACTCTCTGAGAGCTTAGCAATGCCTTTCGAGGCGCAACTGCAATTAGATAATTTAATTTTCTATAATTCTTATTTGAATTTATTATAACATTATTTTCATTACCTTTTTTTGTCGAAATGAATTGAAATCAAGTAAATTAATTTTAATTTTTTATTTATTTTTTATTATTTGAATTTAATATATATTTTTTTGTTTTTATTTATTTATTTTTATTTAACTTTTCGGTTTTACTTTTTTTGGAATAGGCACCTGTCAGAATCCGATTGTCTTAAGCACTTTGCTTTCCCTATAGTCTTATATTTGTAATATTCTTTAAATTAGGAGGAAAAACTCAGGTGTAATCCACCAAAGAAAATGATATTTTTTCTCTCAGATCTCCAATGACCTTTTTGCTTATTATTTGCTGAAGGCTAAACTTGAAAAGTAAGAGCTACTTACGATAAGCTTCTTGATATCTACTTAAATTCCATGCGCACGACTATTGCATAAACAATGCCATTTATTTATTATTAAAATTAAGTCGACTCTGAGAAGCTGAAACTATTTCTAAAGCCGATTTTACTATAGTTTGAGCACAAAAGAGTACAAAAATTTTAGTTATGTGTGATGAAAGTAGAGCAACAATTTTCAGGTCACCGCAGATTTGTATCTTTGATGACACTTCAGAACATACTCATAGGTAAAATACATAAGTTATGTATGTATGCATGCTTGTTGTGACATTAAGCTGAATTTTAATGCACATTTGATATTCAACAGCAAAGTGAATATATATATGTGTACTTCACTAGAAGCATAATCAGATATGCAAAACCAATGTAGCGTAAAACAATAAAATTTAGCTAAGCTTCTTAAATACAAGCAGAAGCATGTCTACCTTAAGTAGATGTTTGCATACTAAATATACGGGTTACATGCCTTCACATACACATTTGCATTGTATTTGCTCTAGAATGTGACACCATTGTTGCTGGTCTTGGCATTTTTTATTATTTCTTGCTTCCTTTTTTGCTTTGAAACGCTGATGCTGTGCCTTTTTATAAAATTGACGCCATTGTTTTCCCAAGCGGCCAGCATGCAACCCACAAAATGTCATCATCAGTTTGTTTTACGTATAAACATACAAACACATACAAAGATAAATGTACAAGTAAGCGCAGTCAAAGGACAATGGAACTCAAATACATGCATGTGTAATAATATATGCGTATATATATATACAATATATAAATATGTGTATATATGTGCATATGCATTCAGTCCCTTGGGGCAAATTATGGTGGCAATAAAAAGAATTATTTGTATATACGTTTGTATAAATATAAATAGCAGATATGATGTGTAATTAATGTCGTTTAGGGTAGTTTAACATTTCCTTATATTTATTTTTTTAAAAACTAAAAATATTTATATTACTCATACCACATGGCATACCGCGATCTCATGTAACAGTGAGAGAGTAAGCGAAGAAATCTCTTGTGTTTTGCAAAAATTTCGAAAAAATATTCCATTCTATTCTAAACTTTGTAACTCCCATTGCATTTCTATTCGAATAAGTTTTATTTTAAATTTCTCTTTCTCTTCGCTATAGATTATGCCAGTCGGGGACAAAAGAAATTTGGTGATAAATGTGAGAATACATTGGAGTGCGGATTTCCCGGTTCCATATGTGATGCAAAAAAGAAATCCTGTCAATGTACCGAAGATTTGCCGGTGACAAATCATATTGACAAATGTGGAAAAGGTTTGTTGGCTTTAAAATAAATTTATATACAGTATTTGTATAAAGATTTTTTTAATATTTGTAATTAATATTTTAAATATATATATATACATTTACTTTTGGCCATGAAGCAAAAATAATATTTAACAGCTTAACCTTGAGTCATGGATTCTGATCAAATTAAATCAAGACGACTAAAATAATATAAAAAAAAATAAAAAATTTTAAAAAAAAATAAAATAAAATAACACAAAATAAAATTCAATAAACGAAACTAAAATAAATTAAAATAAAACGAAACAATATAAAAGGAAAATTAAATTAAATAGAATAAGACAAGATAAAAAGAACAATAATTAAAAAATAATTAATTAAAATAAAATGAAATGAAATAAAATAAAATAAAATAAAATAAAATAAAATAAAATAAAATAAAATAAAATAAAATAAAATAAAATAAAATTAAATTAAATTAAAAAGATAATATAAAATAAAACAAAAAAAAATCAGTTAAATAACATAAAACGAAATTGAATAAAATAAATTAAATTAAAATAAAATAAATTGGATCAAAATAAAACAAAATGAAATTAAATAAAATAAAATAAAACAAAATGAAATTAAATAAACAAATCAAAAATAAAATACTTAAAAAAAACTTTGTTTAAAAATTAAATAAAATGAATAAGAAAAGTGAAATAAAATGAAATACAATAAATCAAATAAATTAAAATAAACTAAATTGAAGTAATTAAATTAAATAAATAAGGTAAAAGATAAAATAAATTGAGAAGGGATAAAATTAAAAATACCAAAGAAATTTAAATTAAATGAAATGGACTGAAAAAGAGAGAATAAAACAGTACAGGAAAATTTACTGTATTTCACTGTAAAAAAATGATAAGGACACATTTACATTTCTCTTCCAAAACGGCACTTAAAATTTATTGTCTACAATTTTAGAGGCAGCCGTTAACGAGACCTGTTTCTTCAACGAACAATGCGAGGTAAAACATTATCAGACGGAATGTCGTGATGGCCGCTGCGCTTGTCGTTACGAAATGACGCCGTTTTGGGGAAAAGATGGTACCGTCGAGTGCAAGGGTAACTAAATTAATTAAAGAAACAAAGAATATATATAATATTAAAATTAAAATTTGTAGTTTGAAGTAAAAACATAAAAATAAAAATTATACAAAATATCATGTTGTCAAATATCGCCCTTCCGCTTTATAAAAAGTGTTACAGTGATCGGATTTAGTTAAAATATGCGCCGTTTTGTTCGATGATATGTTTCCATCTAGACGGCAACTTCACAATACCTTCCTCGCAGAAGCCCCCCTCCTTATTTGCGAAGAATTCAGACAGCCACTTTTCACAAGCCTCTTTTGAGTTCAACTTCCCACCACCAAGGCACAGGACAGGAACAGGTGGTAATCACTTGACGCTACGTCCGGGCTATATGGTGGATGCGATAAAATCTCCCATCCGAGCTCCCGTAGCTTCTGACGAGTCATCAACGAAGTGTGTGGTCTGGCGTAGTCCTGGTGGAACACTACACCCTTCCTGTTGGCCGATTCTGGACGCTTCTGGTCGATCGCCTGCTTCAAGCGGCCCAGTTGTTCGCAGTAGATGGTAGAATTAAGCATCTGGCCATATGGGAGCAGCTCATAGTGGATGATTCCCTTCCAATCCCACCAAACACACAGCAAAACCTTCCTGGCCGTCAATCCCTGCTTGGCCACTGTTTGCGACGATTCACCGGCCTTCGACCACGACCGTTTTCACTTGATATTGTCGTATGTGATCCATTTTTCGTCGCCAGTCACCATCCGCTTCAACAATGGGTCGAGTTCGTTCCGTTTCAGCAGCATATCGCAGGCGTTGATTTGGTCCAGAAGGATTTTTCGCGTCAAATTATGCGGCACCCAAACATCAAACTTTTTTTTGTATCCAGCCTTCTGCAGATGGTTCTAAATGGTTTGGTAACTAACTCCCATCTCCTGGGCGATGTCACGAGATGCCATATGCCGGTCTAACTCGATGTATTCCATGATTTGATCGGTATTTGTCGTCACACGTCTTCCGCCGGCTGGCTTATCCATGGCGTCGTTTTCACCGGCTCTGAATCGTTTAAACCATTCCTCCGCGGTTCGAAGTGATATAGTACCATCCCCCAAAACACCATTAATCTCACGGAACGTTTCTCTAACGGATTTGCCTTTAACGAAGGAAAACTTTGAAATAGCGCGAATTTCGGCGTTAGTGAACTCCATGTTTACACGTCTATAACTGTTGAAGGCAATATTCAAACTTATCATGCACAGCTTTGTTTTGTAGGTTATGTCAAGACCTTTTAAATTATATATAGTGTTGCCAGATACGAGCTCTGTAGCGCTTTGTACATAGCCGCGAAATTCAAAAGACAAAAAAGCGGATATTTGACAACCTTATATAAAGTTAATAAAATAAATAATATTTGATTTTTGGAATATTTAAAATTAAACATTTTTGTTTTGAATTCGAGCAGATTAATTTAATTACGAATCGTTAATTAGGTCGTGGCGATAAACGTGGACCGGAAACCTATATTGATCCAGCAATGATTGGCGTGCTTGTCGGCATGGCATTGATGTTTATTATAATTTGTGTCGTTCTACGTTTGTTTAGCCAGTGAGTAATATTTATTTATATTTCCGATATACATACATACATACTTATCAAATGCAATTTTGTATTTACGTCCTTTTTTTCTAAATGAATTTTTTGGCATTTGTTAATAATACAATAAATATATAATTTTATTTGTTTTGCTTATTGCAAATACTAATCACATCAGCACCGAGAGCGATTACATTCTTTTTCGGTTGAAAGAAAAAAAAATAAATAAATACAAGGTTACTAGTTTTGCCAGATTTACACTATGTAATGAAAAAACATACAGCAAAGGGAATGGACAAAACAAAAGAAAGAGAATTTAATTGAACAGATGGTGAAAATTCAATGAAATTAAAAAAAATTATTTCGACTTTATTTAATTTGAAGTTAATATTTGATTGATATTCGGAGCAATTCCAATAATTATGTAGATTCATAATAAACTTGAAAGTAGAGGGATTTAGCGTAAAAAAGTTGAAATTTCTTTTAAATATTATTTTTGTTTTGTTAAATTTAACTTAGGGATTGTATTGTGTAAAATATATTTACTTTTTTTTTTTTAATTTATCACTCTCGGAGGCAGTGGAGTAAATATAATTGGATATTGTTTAAAGCTTTTGATGGAGTAAATTTCAATGTCATTGTTCGGTAAAATTGTTTAATTCACGGTATTTACTAACCTGAAAATTTATGTTACAGAAGATAATTAAATGAAAATATTTTATATTAAGGGGCGTAGCAAAGCATTTTTTTGTTTTTGTTTTACTTAAATATTTTTAATTTCAATAAATTATATTGACATATTTTTTTATTAATTAGACGACTACAAAAAATATCATTTTGTTTAGCCTTCAGCTTTAAACGACATAATGCGGTATTTCCACGGCAGCCCAATTACGTGTTTCGCTCTCTCAATAGTGATTTGCACTCCAACCACATGCCGAATTATTTAATTTGCCATACAAATTATCGTGAGCTTATTACAGTAAAAGTTGGTAATTCATTCTCAATTGCCATGTGAATTACGACCAAATCGATGCCTTCTCTAACTCTTATCGAATTTTTATCGAAACCAGCTGACAAATCAAAACAAAGGAGAGGAGAATCTTAAAAGTCGACACCAAAACACAAACATTGATTTGAAACCGAAGACTATTTGTAAAGTAACTGGTATTACATTACCAATTCAATTCAAGATTTTGTTAACTTCTAGTAAATTTTTTAATTTTCCATGCGTTTTCAAATGGAAAAAACAAGCGAAACCGAAAACTGTCAAACTACGTACCGGGGGAAATTCGCATTCGTAATTTTAGAGTGCGAAGCACGTTATTGGGCTGTCGTAGAAATGCCGTATAATCCATAAATATTGTTTCAATACAATTTGATTTAAGGAGTGGAAGAATTTTCGAAATTTGCTAATTTATTTTTAAATTCGAGTTTTTTCCCTTCAGTTTAATCGTGTAAAAAGTAAAACCCTGGCTACGCCCCTGAAATTCCGTAACGATTTTTTATGGTATTATTTAATGAGGAATTATTTAAACATGCCGTGTTGTCTAAAATTTGTTGCAATAATTTACACAAATCATACATGATTCTTTCCAACAGTCTGTATAATGCAATTTTTTTTTTTTAATTTCATCACCATGCCAAAAGCGTATGTGAAAGTGTTTACTCATAATTTCATACATACATACATATATAAATGCAAATGCTTTAAAATTTATTAATATTTATTATAAAGAAAAAATTGATGTGGTAGACAAATTTTTTTTTTTTTATAGAAAAATATCACTTTTGAAACAATTATTTGCTTCAATTATTTTCAATGAGCTCTTTTCATTTCCTTTTCTTTTTATCCTACTGCATTTACCAAATATTTATATAATACATAACAACAACCTTGCTGTTCTGTTGCCATGGTTACCATCACAAAAAAAAAACCCAACACTGTTGATATTATTATTGTCGTTGTTAAAACAAACACACAATATACGCCAATAAATTCATAATTTACTCAGGGCACGTTGGCGTGAAAACCGGACAATTTTCAACACACCCAATCCACGTCTCATGAACGTATCGCTTTTGCGTGATAGCAAACTCTTGCACGGCCAGGAGCGACGCGGCTCGCGTATGTCGGTGCGAGCACCGTCGCGCCAGCCGAGCATGGCTTCGCTACGTCCGCATTCGCCGAATCCGTCGTTAGGTAAGACAGGTTTGTATCCAAAAAACTAATTAAAATGAAAAATAATTAAAAAAAAATTAGAAATCTAAAAACAGAAGTCTAAAATGTCTAACCTTTAAAGTAAAGTTAATTAAAAATCTTTCCTTAAATACTATTTTACTGATTAATTAAAAAAAAAAAACTTTTAAAACATATAAGTACATACATATTAATGCATATGTATAACTTATACAATATGTGCCCCTAACGGTAATAAAGCTAGTGCATACAACTTTTTGAATATTCACAAAGCCCTGTAATATACCAAAAAGCATAAAAATGCATTTGAACAGAAGAATTTAAATGTTTTTAAAAAAATTTTTAACCGCATGACTTTTTACCATAAAACAGCTTAAATTTTTCATTTTCATCGTACAGCGCTTTGTGAATTTGCTATTTTATATCATAGTTTCATTGTAAAGGATTTAATTATTTTCGATTTATTTCACTCATCGCTGGTTTGCTATGGTTTTTAAGCTTATTTTTCAACATTTTTTAAATGCGTAATAATTTTATAATCTCTATGGAAACGAATTTATATAGCAAAGTTGGCTACCGTTACTTATAAAAATCAAAGCTCACTGAGTAAAATAAATTACCTCTGATTTAAAATACAGCTTAAAAGCTCGAGCTTTTGAAAAATAATTAGAAGAAGGAAATATTAGTCAACTATTCGTTTTTTCTTTCGTTAGCATTTTTTCAAATCTAAAACTTATTGTTCATACTATGATTCAAAGTTATGAGACCCGCATACTCACGATAGATCTGGGCCTGTAAACTCTAAGCAGAAAACATAGAACAACGCGCTGTAAAGAAAGTTTGCGCGAAATTTTTAAACAGCGGAAAATCTAGCGGCCAAAAAATCAAAATTTAAGTCTGAACGTCTTGTAGATTCGCTTGTGATTATACAATTCAGATGAATCTGATTCATTTCGCATAAATTCTTAACAATTCAAGCGCTCATAGGACCGAATATTCCGGAAATTTACCTTCGAAGAGCTTACAATGTTATATAGTTACAAAAATATGGCATACTTTTTGATAAAGGGCTATACATTTCGTGGTTTCAAAAGTAAAGCGCTGCATTTTATCATTTTCCGAACTTAACTGCCAAACCAAACATATTTTGCTTTTGCTGAAAATCCTGCATTTATTGAAATGAATTGCTTAACAACCCCACGAAGTGTTGAAACTGTTAAAAAATGATGATTCAAACGTTGCCATGTTTTGTGCTTTAAGAGCAGATTATGGTGCCAAAAATCCTCTGACTACTGAAGGAATTTTAATGTAATTTAAAAAATTCAGAAAAAGAGGATCCGTTGGAGGCACGTCCAAAAATGAGTCGCTCAAATGACAATACCGATTCGGCGTTGTGGACGAGAAATGCATATTATAAGAAGCTCTCTGCAGTACTTACAAAATCCAATTAACACAAAAGCTGAAGCCTCGTTGTATCTCTTCTCTCAACTTGCGTTCGCTATGCCAGATCACACTATTCGTAATGCCTCTGTAACACCTTCAGCAGCTCTTAGTACTCAAGATCATCAGGCTCAAAAGTGAGGACTGTGTATTCCCACGCATATCAACAATAGAAAAATCCTCAAAGTCATGTCTTATCAAACTGATTTTCTGGGTGGGAGCAAAGGCGATTTTAGTATCAAGAGGCAGGACTAGAAACTTTCAAAAAACTATTGTTTGCGTACATCGAACACTGGCGAGAATATAAAAATTAAAGTCAACTTTTAAACATTTAATTAGTTCGGTAGAGAGGGGATTTTTGGTAGTAAAAATATTGTAATTATACTGGTCTGGAGCCAACTTTGCTCTACAATTCTTTTGAGTGTATCTCTCAACTGCTGAACTTAATATGCTTCCTTAACTGAAAATAAAATTACACACTATGTGCTTAGCTTAAGCCTATATATTTATGTAATTTTTACATTTTAAATAGTAGTACTCAGCATTTATGACAATTAAATAAAAAAAGTACTCTCTCAGGATAATAAAAATTTTTCTAACTAAAAATCCAGTTTATGAGGTATTTATGAAATAGCATATTTACTACATTTTAAAGAACTGCGAATTATACATAAAATACAGTTAGAAGTATGCTCAGCATACTAACAACTATTTGGCATTTAAGAATATTTTAGTTTTAATTATAACCGACTACCACAACCTTCATGTTGACGAAAAATAAAAAAACTTTGATCAATCCTATTGGCTATATCCATTGAAACAGATCACAAATCAGGTCGTATGACGCGTTCCAAAAGCAATACCAGATCGAGTGATTCCCGTGTTAGCGACGTATCGAATTGTTCGCGTCTGCTCGAGCACACGCACACAAATATGCACGCACCACACACATTTGCGCCGTACACACCGGCACCGACGCCAACAACACACATAACGAATTTGCAATCATCACCACAATCGCAACAGCCACCAACAACAGCGGCAACAATGGCCAATGCCAGCTCGGATACCGACATGGAGGCGGCCATGTGCATGACAACGCCGCCAGCGGTCGCCATTAAGGCGAATAAATTCTGAATGAAGAAAAATCTCCAAATTGCTTACTCTATTAATAACATGCATACATACATACATACAATACATACATATGTGCATACAATATGATCACAATAGGAGGCGCCGCCGCCGCCAGCCATTAGCTGTTCTCGGGTATCCTAATTGACAAGAGCCAACCAAACAACCAACCAACCAACCAACCAACCGACCGCCAATCAATACAGATGTGCATGTGGTGCTGCGTCTACCCAGAGAACATACACACGTGTATGTACATATGTATAAGCTAAGAATAAAATTTGAATGTTTAGTAGACCGACTAGCGCTCTTTTTTTTAGTATTCTTAGTCAAACAAAAGTATCAAACCTACATTCAAAACATATTGAGTTTCTTCCAATTACACTGAACAACGTGCTGCCTGCACTCATACCGTTAAAAGGGTGTGTGTGTGTGTGTAGTTGCGTAACGACAACACGTAGTTGTAACCGTAGAACACTTTAACTTTATTGACACCAACAAATGTATACTCTTATGTACATACATACAAACTACATATGCGTACATACATGCAAGTTAGTAGCAAGTAGAGTTTGTTTATACATTTATCTGTCAAGTAATTCGAAACTATTACTATCGAAGTAGATATGTACTCGTAATATGTACCTACACTTTCAACCAAACACCCACACACCAAATAAAAAATTGGCAAAATTCGATATTTAAACATACATACATGTACATACTAAATGCGCTTCACAGAAATATTGAATTTTCTACAAACTCCTGCTTTTATTATAATTTTGAAGCAACTCTAACCAAACTGCCAACGATTGTACGCGTCTGAGTATTTATTTACAATTATTTTTATGAAGACGATATTTATTTTATACGGCCGCCCATAATAACTACCGCAGACTGTTAGTGGCCTAAGCCTGGGCTTATGAGCTACAGCGAAGTCGAAACCCAAATGCGTGATCGAGAACTTCAACTGTTTATTTCTGAAAAAAGATTTATAAATAAATAAAATGAAAACTAAATAAAATAAAATATACTTAAATAAAATTAAATTAAATAAAAGTTTATGCAATTAAATTATATTTAACTGAAGTAAAAGAAAATGCGATAACCAAATTTAAATAAAATAAAATAAAATACAATAAAATAAAATAAAATAAAATAAAATAAAATAAAATAAAATAAAAAAATAAAGTAAAATAAAGTTAAATAAAAAAGGAAAGAAAATAAAATGAATTATAAGAGAAGATAGAATAATATGAAACAAAATAAACTTAATTAAAATCAAAGGAATAAATAAATAATAAAAAGTAAAAAATCAAGATAAATAAAGAGAACGGCTGGGAGAGGTCCTTCCCAATTGTGACTGCTCTTCTGGTTTTGTCCAGAGTCAGTTTACTCAGCCATACAAGTTTTGCAGGAATACCATTTCGTGCTGTCGAAAGCTGCTCTACAATCAATGAAAGGTTGAGGTGTATCTTTTCTCACGGGTCTATTCTAATTTTTTAATCACGGTGAATATCTCGTCAATGGTGGATTTACGAGGTCTAAAGCCACACTGATAAGGTCCAATCAGCTTGTGGACAGTTGCCATAGTCGGGTAATGGAATATCTTTTCTATTATCATTGATTGGGGTTTCGGGATCGCAATCTCTCGATGTTGAATTTTTACGGCAATTCCGCAGGCTGGAGCAGTGCTTCTCCATGCATCAAGTATTCTCTGGACATCGGTCACCTACATTCTTACATGAGTATGTTCCGACCTTCAAGCCTGAGATGCCGTTCTAGAACTCCCTTAAATCCAGTCGCTGATTAGTACTCTTAGAGAGCACCTAGTAAGTCAGAAGAAAACCTTTCGGCACTTCTGTTGTGATTGCAGCTTTTCAACGTCAAACCGACTGATTAAAATAAAATAATATAAAATATAATAAAATACATAAAAATCTAAAATAATCGAAATAAAATGAAAAGAATCATTGTATTAAAATAATAAAATGAAATGTACAACAAAAGGTTGAAATAAAAGCAAATTCATTACAATAAAAATTTAATGAAATAAGGGAAAGCAAACACTATATATTTGAGTATCAGCATTTCAAGTTAAAGCCAATTACCGTACGCACTTTAAGTAAAATTAAAACTAGTAAAATATAAACATACATATGTATGTAAATTATTGCATGAGTCATTACTTAGGAACTGAGTTACTGTATACATACATACTATATGTACATATGTATTAGCTAGAATCTTTTAGGAATGTTACTTATATACGACTGCTATATCTATCTATTATAGTACAATATACACACATACATACATACATATTTGTATATACATATATACATATGCTATTTTCATTTCGAAATTACTTTTTATTGCATTCATCCAAAGCTTGCAGACTTTTTGTATTTCTTTAAAATTTTATTTGCATTTTCAACAGCATCTTTAAAAACTTGTTTACAAAGCTTTAGATGTGCTTTGATTACGAAAAACTTATAAACCAAATTTTTAGCGAATTAAGTGTGAAAGTGAATAATAAATATTATTTGCTGATTTTATGTATAATTTAAACTTTATATTTGTTCGTAGCAGGAGAAGAAGAAGTAGAAGAAGAAATGTGTGTTAAATGTAAATATGTATAGTGTATAATTGTTACATATATGTTATTTACCAATGTAATATAGATTCAAACAGATGTGCCTACATACTCGTATAACATAAATGTTTTTTTTTTTTTTTTTGATAATAACCAATTATGTAAAAATAACTCATTTTAAGCTCGTATATATATTGTGTTCAAAAAAAAAATTACAAAATGTGTATTAATGTTTGTAGCTAAAACCCGAAAATACGCTTAACACCATACACCCACATCCTTTTCTGACATTTCATTATATTATATTGCCAACTTATTCATTCAAATATGTATGTATATGTTTTCTATATACCTACGAGCAGGGTCACATTCGGGGAGCGCCAGCGCGAGCAACGCATCAGCCACGTCTATACGTTCGACGCGTAGTAACTCCGTGGCGCCAGGAAATGTGGCTAATACCGGTCAGTTGGAGAGGAAGGGCTCGCAGTATCACAATCAGCATCAACAACAGCAACATCACCACCACCAACCACACCAACAACACCAACAGCTACAACAACAGCAACAGCAACAAATGCCGCTGATCACCAATATAACATCTAATCCAGCTGCTGAAAGTGTTGCGGTCGAGATAATTGTGCCGGAAAAGTGAAAAACTGGAAATGGTTAAAAATAAATAAACGATTAGTTACATACATGCATACAAAAGCTAAATGTATGAAAAAGTAAAAGAAGACAAATCAAATTAAATACTTGTAAGCCGAAATTGCAAGAAAAATGAATAAAAATAATAATAAAAATAAAAATAACAAAGCTGATTAAGCACAACAAATAAAATAAGTAATGCATAATGCATTTGCTGAAAAAAAGAGATTTAGTAAAAAAATGATATAAAGATCAAAATATAGAGATTATTAATTATTTAAGGAAATACTTTATTTTAACAACTAATAATGTCATATTGCAAAAAGAAAAAAGAAAATAACGCAAATACACAAAAAATTGCTTGGTTAGAAACGAAAAAAAAACTTGCATAACAAATTCATATTTTTATTTCTTCTTCTTAAAAAAAAAACCAAAAAAAAAAGTGAAAACGCGTACAATTCAAGCTTTCAACACCAAAAATATATGAATCAATATTTATAAAAAATTTCGTAGCAGAGAATAAATTAAAATACGTATGCACATATGTATATGCACAAACAAACAAAAAAATAAATAAATAAATAATGCACAGTACATTACAGAAAACAAAAACAAAAAAAAACACATTAAAAAGTGATAGCAAAGTAGTACCAGAAATAGTTGGAACACGTGGACAATTTTAAAGCGCAGAAAAGAAATAAACTACAACAAAATGTTTAGCTTTAATGTCGAGCAACAAAAGGAAAACAATTTAAATTACATTTATAAATGTATTTCTAACTAGAGCGAATACTACAAAATAAAGTTATACACCTATATACATATGTATGTATAAGTAAGGAATAATTTTGAAAAAATTGCGTCAAAAATATATAATGAATCTTTCGCTGACATTCATCTTCCTATCCTAGTGATATTACAAATGTAAGCAAAACACATACATAAATACATACATAGACACACTGATACATACATATACTACGTACACAAACTTGCAGAGCTATCGTACACGCCAAATTTTCTATATAAAAACTCAAATAAAAAATAAACAAATTTTATTATATAAATATATATACAAATGCATGTATGTACCTTTAAACCGACGGCAAATATAATATAACAGTGACTAAGGTGATTAAAGAAAAAATAAACTATATTATGAAATAAATAGTACGCAATATCAGTAAATACAAAAATAGTAATTTAAACAACAGCAAAAAATATATGTAGATACTTGGCATTTGACAACACTAATTTCAAAAACATACCTAGTTAAAAATAGAAATTTTCGATAAAAAAAAATATTTTACAACAAAGTAGTTTAAAACAAAAAATATGTGTTACTAATTTCTAAACATATTAACATTTCTTGCGCAAAACGATTTATTTTCTTTTTTAAATTTAATAATAATTACAGACAATTAAAAATTAAAAAAAGAAAAAAATCCAACAAACCACTCAAGCGCCATTTGTGCACTATATAAGTTTTTATTAACAAAACAAAACATGAAAAAATAAATATTTTTAAACAATTTAGGGACTATACATAAATAAAATGGTATTCAAAACTCTATTATTATTGTTAGTACATATAAGATGCATATTGAAAACTTCAGTTAAAATTTTTTAAAATAGAACCCTTCAGATAGATCTCGAATACGCTGTTAAATTAAAACAAAAAAAAAATAGAAATATTAGAAAATATGCTCGAATAGCGATTAGTCATTTTCAGCGCAAATTATTCTGAATATTCGGCCACATATGCATTCTACATATTGATGCCATTTGTTAAAATTTAGTCTAGTTTTTTTTCTTCTTTGTGTGTAACAAGAGATTTTAGTACAGAAAAGTTTACAATCGAATTTTTGGTAATTAATAGTTTTGCTGTTAAGCATAAAAACATAAAACACTTTAACTTTCCAGTGAAAAATTGGGGAAGATTTTTTACTCGAGAGTTAAAGTATAATTAATTTTTTTTTTTCAATTATTACATCATTAAAATTAATTTCTTTTCAAATTTCTTGCTCAATTTACCTCAGAAAAAAGAAAAGCGAAATTTCGCACCATAAATTCAAATTGATACATTTTTTCAAAATCACATTGCCTAATTGCTTGTAGTTTGCTTGCGGTTTGTTTTTTTCGGCCACGAAATAGTTTTCCAAAAAATTACCGTTCATACTAGCGAAACAAATTTTTTATATTCAAAAACATGCACATATAATATACATATGTATGTATGTTTTCATACATGTTTGCGTGTATATTTACGATGCCTTTACATACATATATATAAACTATTAATCGAACTCGAATACGTCTAATAAGATTAAGTCATAGAAGTTTTCATTTCTATTTTATAAAATAACGAACACAATTATAATATTAAAAACAGAAACAAAAAAAAAAAAAAAAACCCAAACAAAAAATGTAAATACGCAACGAAATCTCAATGAAAAGTTAATTTTTGCGTTTAATAAGCATAACAAGTGATTAAAAACAAATCTGATTTTGAAATTTCGGGGAAGAATTTCAAAATTGCTTTGTTTTATTTTAGTTAAACTCAAATATATTTAACAAAGTGGTATGTACAAACTTAAGTGAAGGGAAAATAAAAGCGAAAAAGAAAACCAATTTTAAAGCAACAAATTACACAGTTTATTAAACGTACACACATAAAAACGATTGCCTAGACGTTTTTAAAGTAGTTCAAAAATCGATAGCTTTTAATGCAAATATCAAATGAAAAAAAAAAAAACGGTTATAAAATAACACATGATCTCTTTTTCTCTAAGCAAATTAAGCTTATACACTTAAAACAAGAATTTATAGAAAATTGATGCAAAAATATAACAAAAAAAAAAAAAGAAGCAAATTACTACATAAAAATATTATGCTGATTTCGTACACCAACGTATATTACACATAATAAAAATGCTTTATTTACTTTGTAGCATGTACCTAAACGTGTATATACTTACACCTATGTACGTCATTTGATTAATTACATACATATACTCATATATAGCTATTAACTATATATTTGATATTATTAAAAAAACACATCTACACTTTGTATAACAAAAAAGAAAGGTAAATAATCTTAAAATCTATCCATTTTTAATCTTTATACGAAAGCGTCTAGAAATAAATGATTGATACGAATGTTTTCCAATATTAACACTAATAACCAAAGACAAAAACAAAACAAAATGAAAAGAAACCAAATCAAGCAAAATATTAAAATTTAATTAATGTAGCATCGTTTAGAAAGAATTTATTTACGATCCCTACACCACTACGACATACATAAAAGTATGTATATTTATGTAAGCTACATAAGTTCCCTCCCACTCTTGTGGCGCCTTGCAGAAAGTGAACGAAAATCAACGTTTACACATTTCATATACACATGAAACATTATAAATACATATATATATATATATATAAATATATTAACATTACACAAATTTATACATTGAAGACATAACATAATACATTTATAAATTATATACATACATATATACGCTTTATATATGTTATATACTTGTATCCATATATGCTAATGCGCATAACAATTTAAACATTTACATACATATACACATGTGCTTACATACAATACTACATGTAGGACACGTATGCACACTAACAGTTAATAAGTAAAAAAAAAACAAAATTAATTAAATGCAAAATAATAAAAAAATGACAACCAAGTACCGAATCACAATCTTAAAAATGCATTACAATCAATTTAATTTTGAAATATTTATCTATTTAAGTAATAAAACATTTTATTATTGTTCTGTTGAACATGAGCATACACTCAATAGCAAACTAAAATAAAATGAAAGCAAAATACAATTCACGCACATACAATATTTGTGGTAAATATAAGTCTAAGTTTACATACAGCACACTATTTCCTACATATACATACACATACGATGTTTTAACATATTAATTCTATATAAAATCAAAACTATATATTAATATAATTTCTACAACTGCACAACTTCTCTTATTTATAAAAATAGTTACATATATATTGGATTATGAATTCACACAGTGTTAAGCGAAATAAACTGATTAAATACAACAATGCAAAATACAAAGATTTTCGATTTGTTTTATTAGGAGCCAAAATTTATGTTTTTTAAATGTGTTTTTTTTTTTAATCGATTTGGTATTTACACGTTCAACCATGATACATAAAAGAAAGTAGTTCCACTCAATTTTTTTTTTTTTGGTTTGTGATTTATTAACTGACATACATATGTACATGTACTTTATATTTTATATTTGCGCTGCCAATTTCGTTTATTAAAAATAAATTTTCAAATTCCCTGCAACATTTAGTTGTTTCTATTTTTGAAAACAATGAATTGAATATTTTCAAAGTGGCAAAGTCTCTAAGTTTAAATAAAAATAAAATGTAAAATCAAAAAAAAAAAAAAAAAAAAAATTATTTAGTGTCGATTTTATTTTGAGGGAAACTACCTTCTATTTTTGTATCATGCTTTCAACACAATCACACAGCTCCACTACAAAGTCACAAAATGTAATAGTGACTCACACCACATACGCGTACAAGAAATAATAGAGAAAAAGGTAACCGATCACTTTCTGAAAAAGCATACAGCATAACTACAATACATAGCAGCGTAAAAACGAAGAAAAATAATAACAACAAAAAAAAAAAAAACAAAAATAAAAATAATAGTTGGAATCTTTAACACATTATATTTAAGCAATTTTATTAAAATATATTGCCATTACTGAAAAAAAAAAAAACAATTTATGTAGTTTCCTTTTTTCATTTGATTAAATTAACGTAAGGTAAGAGCACAAAATGACATATATGTTTAAATTTCATAATACCCAGGAGTCTTGATAGGGTGAAATTAGTGATTCAGAAACTGAAGTAGCTATAAAGGGACAAAATATCGTAATGCATAAATATATGTGTACACATATTCTTATACACATATTCAAATAATTTGTACTATACTGAAAGTGCTTTCTCCTTATAAAAATCCATCAGCCGTCCGGATTTTGCTTCGAATAAACTGTAGGCTCCTCCATTTGTTGGGAAACATCAAGCCGCACCCCAAATATGGAGGAGGAGCTTAGCTGATTAAAGCGTCAGTTTTTTTTTAAACTTATGAACAACCGAATTTCCTGCCAAATGGTATGTCTGTTTTAAACAGAAACTAATAAAACTCTTTTATTCGCCTTCCTTTTTCCGATTGTCAAATTATTTCTGGTTTCCGGTATTGCCATATCTATAGGTAGGGAATATTTATTGTGGAACGCAAGTTGATATGCCAAATTTTAAGAAGAATGCAGAAAATTTTGAGCTCATGTGTTCAAAGTAAAATTATGTTGTACAATAAAAGAAAAATAAATATTTAACTAATTTTATAAACTATCATTTAGACAGTGAAATTGCTAATAAATGCTGTTTACCAATGAGTTTTAGAGTTCAATTAACTACTTAGTGGCAGCACTAGCTCTACAAAACACCTGAGTGGATGGCATTGCCAGAAATCAGCTGTTCAGTGTATGCCGACTGTAGAGTTGAAACAGCTGTTAGTTGATAGTGAGTTTTATTAAATAATAAATGTTATGATTTTTTAAGTATTTAGTAAACTGCTGTGTAGAACTTTAAAATAATGGCTGATCCGCGGTTAATGCCTGAGGAAGAACTACCGAAAAGGGTAAAATATTGAAAATACTAATAAACTTGTTGAACCTATAGTTGCATTCATCGCTCAATTATAGGAGCTAAAAGTATTTGGTCGCGACGTTTCCCAAATTCCATGCTTTCGTAATAGTTTCCTTTACGGTATTGGCGGTGGTGTAGCATTAGGAATTGCGACATTCTTGGGCACTTCACGTACACGTCTATCAACACACGTTGGATTTGGTACATTTTTTACCGGCACCTTTACCTATTGGATAGTTTGCAGGTAGATTTGCGTGTTTTAATTATTTATATATCATCTATTATTTTATTTAAAACGTTAACTTTTAATTATGCATAATTAAACACATTTAAGGTACCAATGGTCAAAAACACGTTTTGAATATCAACAACTAAAGGAGGCTATGCGTAAACAGGCATTACACGAAGGCACCGAAGTAGAGCGACAACTTTTAGAAGATGCCTAAGATTTGCCTAATATGTATTTAAAATATAATTTATAAGTAATAAGTGTAGATATGTATATACATATATTACACCAATAATGATTGTTAAGAAAATTGTTGATAATTTGTTAATAATGCTTAAATATATGACCTTTTAATATCAAAAAAGTAATATTATTAAACTAATTTTCAAATATTATTATAACTATGCGATACCAAATCTTTAGACAATATTTTTTTATAGCAAAATGTATTTTCCGAGTGTTCAATGAATATTATGGGACAAAACATGTTCGTGAATTGTAAAAGGATTGAATCTTTTATTCCAAAACATAAATTCTTAATCTGAACAACGCAAAAAAACAACTCATATATTCTTATGTATTCCTAAACGTTTTTGATTTACCAAAACTATAACTACACTAGTTGACATTTATTCTAAACTTACTTGAAAACATACTTATATAATCCAACTGATGTAAAAATATTTAAAAGGCAGTAAAAATAATTAAATAATTTTTTTTTTTAATTTTTAAACTTCAAAAAGAAGCAATCTGGTTCTGCTTGTAGAATATTGAAATTCAAATATCCCTTTAAATTCGAAATAAATATTTTTTTTCTGCACGAGAAATCTATTTCCCTATACATATGCCTTTTACTTTTCGAAATATGACAACATTTTCTTCTAGATAATTATTAGAAGATATTACTATTTTGCTCATAAATGCTTAGATTTTATGCGGAACTCGAAGGGAAAAAAGTCCGCCCTGCAGAAAATCTCGTAAAACTGGATATAATGTACATATGTATATTTTAAATTAAGATTTATTGATATTAAATATGTGAATACATTCGTGTTACTCCATCAGAAATTTCTCTGCTGCTATTTTTTATGATTTTTTAATATTGTGTAAATAAAGGAAAGTACGTCAAGTTTTACACTTTAATTAGAAGATTGCAAAGTTTTTCAATTTCATACACAAAAGTAGCTGCCGTGTCCCTCTGCTGATTCTTTTAACACAACCTACACAGTGCTGGTTGTTATGGCAGTTTGTAAACCAGAATGTAATCAGATACAAGATGTTGCGTATGAAGCCAATAGCCTGCTGTTGTTGTAATGATATTTATGTAAATTAGATTTGAAAACTGTTATCTGAACAGTTGGTAGCTGGGGAGAATTGAATCAGCGAGTATAACTATGTGCTTATAATGTAATATCTCGGTATGAGAAGACTTAGTGATTTAGAATATTGTGGAAAATTTGTAATACGCATGTATGTAACCAAACTAAATTGAGCAGCCCTTCCCTTAGAGATTAAAATTTCCACCTTGTTAATGCTGTGAGTATATGTACATATGTATTTGAGTCTGCACTATGTAGCAATTTTCGTATCCCTAAGGCTCAAGCATGTTTGTATGTATGTACATACATACATTTGTAAGCATAGCATTTTTCAACCACGAATACTCCTTGCGACTTTTGTTAGTTATTTCACTTGATGTAGGCAAACACTAAAAGCATTTTAGCTAAGAAACTAAACGTTAACATTTTATAACCTAAAATAAACAAGTTGCTAAAAGACTACGTGATAAATAAAAAGAGGGACATAATGAAGCTGCGAATGAGCAGGAGCGGAACAAAAAGTGAGTGTAAGGAGCATTCTGCGTGTGCACTCGTATGTTGACTGGATATTTATAAACTTTAAAAATTTAATTTTGATAAAAAAGTCTTTCTTGTCGAATTTCTATTTGGAATTTCAAAGGAAATTACGCTCTAAAGTATTTATATATGTGCGTATGTATGTATTTACATAAAAGTGAGTAGCAATACGAGTAATTCAAGAAAATATTATATCTTATTTTTTAAAGATGACGATTCCCCCAAACGTGTTTCAAACTGCCCACCCTTATTTTTAATTTGACAAATAAATATTTTGTTTTAAAAAGTTCAAAATCCTAACTTAACTGACCCTTTCACTTCTTAATCTTATGCTTCCACTGGTTTTAAGCGGAACCTACATACGCACACTCCTAAGTATCTAAGAACATAAAGAGGTGTATTGAGATAAGAGATTTGAGTAAAAGCAAAAAAAAAAAAACATTAACATATGGCAAAAGTTGAACAGCTTAAGTGCCTTCCTAAGAGATTTACTGTTATGTACACAAAGTAAAAGTAAAGTAACAATTACTGTATTTATACATACTGATGTACATATGTACATATGTGGGTGCGTATGCGTTCGGTCAGTAAACATCGGCTAGGGCACACTTGAAAGTCAAGAATTTGTGGCTGAAAATGAGTTAAAAGAGTTTATTATCCGGATGTGTACATACTAACATATTTACATATGAAAGAATTTGTTCATAAGTACAAAGTCAAAATGGTGTAGTGACTTCAACTACTAAATTTGTATTAAGTTTGTGGCACTGTTATATACAAAATTAAATTGCATATGTATGTAGTCGTTATGTGTTATTATCACGCTTTTAAAACTTACTTGTAGATATGTTAGTTATAATCATAACATAAAAACAAGAACAAAATTTAAAAAATTTTTTTCCTTTCGAGACATAATCAAAAGAAAAGTGCCAAAAAAGAGTGTATTTCCCATTCTAGAAGAGCACAACCTTTTGATTTCTGCTTAGAGAAAGGATTTTCTGAATTAAGAATAATCTTTTTAGGACTCTTTACAAATTTACATTATCCTACACTTCTCTCAAATCAGAATTTATGACATGAAAAAGAGCTCCGATTGAGTCAGTACTTTGACAGGTCTTAGAATCACATTTGAGTGGGAAAGATACTTACTTGGCGGTCTTGCATGTCGTTAATGCCGTTTACCTCTAAGTTGACCGATGTCACGTCTCGGTGTATGATTCTTAGAGCATTGCGCATAATGTTAAATGCTCCACTTAGGTTCAGAAAGACTCCAATAGTATATCATATCCGTTTTTTTCTAGAGCTTTTCCTATATTTAAGATTGGGGAATGAAGTGGGATATGTTAGCCGACAAAGCTAATCTCTAATGTAGACGGCAAAGATCTTTTCGAGTGGCTGCCGAATGAATAATACTAAGCTTATCTCTCCAAAGTACCGCAAACATCCTTCATATCGCCACCAAGTATGCCCCCAAGTATGCCACCAGCACTGTTGAGGCTCTCTGAATCATAGTTGGAACGTTTGTACTTGAGGATTTCCACTATCTCCTAATGATATTGGGGGTGTATCCCGTTGAGAAAGGTGTACTGATCAGAACTTTTCGGTCCTTGAAAGTTCTTTGAAAATAGAAACTAAAAGTTCTTCCAGAGGTATGCAACACTTTTTTCAAAGACATGCATAAATTGTACGAGGGGATTAACAAACGCTCGGCCACTTGGCGAATTTCAATTTGTTTCTGTTAAATCTAAAAATACCAAATCCTTTGAAATTATCTTTATTAGTATTTCTTTAAAATTTTAGAACGATCGGCTAAAATGCTGACGAGAAAATGCAATTTAGCTGAGAATAGATTAGACGAAATTTTAGCACCAAAGCCATGTGATTCTCTTCGGGTTTCGGCGTAATTTACAGCCAATACAAGTATTCAGTGGATGCCAAATTGTATTTGGAACGATTGCACCGTCATTAAAAACAATTTCTAGGTAGCTTCGAAGATTCCAGACCGGACATTTTTCCGCAGACTACGAACACCGAGAAGGTCGATTAAAATCTTCAACAGATGGCGTCACTGTAGCTGATTGCTAATGAATTGGTCTTGATCACAATGGTGGTATCACGAATATAAAGTAATCATCTTGAATACACGAAGAAATCTGATCGATTGGTGCCACGAATTTTAAATGAGACCCAAAAGAGGCTCGTTTCCAGCAACTTTAGTAAAGTCGTTACTGGTGACTAGTCTTGGTTCTATAAGTACGATCCCAAAACCAAACAGAGGTCCATGGTATTGGGTCGAACAGGAGCAAGTCTACCCGTAAAATCTAAGTAACAAAAATCAGCAGTAAAAGTTATGATGTCAGTTTACGATCTATAATAAAATCGTAGCTGCTATTCGACTGGTCAGACAGGTCGTACGGTAACTGCAAAATGGTACACCGAAAAGTGCTTACCAAAATTTTTCAAAAATTTGTTGGGAAAAAGCACACAAGCTGAAATAACGAGTAATTTTATTGCGATCTCTGAGATCGAAGAAATGCGTCCAAAACCAATTCCTCGGAAAGGTCTTTAATAGCAACGAGGAGAAAATTTAAGTGAGTGTTGAACTCGATAAGCTTAAAGAGCAAGATTTTGAAGATTGTTTTCAGAAGTGGATCTATAGGCTTAAGAAATATATTGAAATCAATGGCAATTATGCCGACAGGATAAAAAAGGACAAAGATTACGAATAAAGAATTTTTTTTCTGATCAACTTGCCGAACTTTTGTTTATCCCCTTGTATACTGATTGACTTATTAATTCCAATTTTTTGTCATTTTCGTATATTTGTATCGCTCTTTCGCCTTACTTCATCAAAACAATACGTATGATTTCACTCAGGTTGGCTTAAAAGAAAGCGGCGATTTTTAAAAATTCTTTTATAATGAAATTTAATCAATTATGTAATTTCCATTTTGTTGAACTACCTTTCGCCATCTTTCCGGCAACATCATTATTTCACGGTCATAGAACTTCTGGTCTTTAGCTGCAAAAAACTGCACAAAGTGCGATTTTATAGGTTCGTCCTTTTCAAAAGTTTTACCATTTGATCCGTTCTTCAGAGATCGAAATAATTGGTTGTCTGACCGCGCAAAGTCAAGGCTATATAACAGATGCATCAACAATTCCCATCCAAGCTCTCTTAGCTTTTGGCGAGCGACCAAAGATCGATTCAGCAACTGATGTTGTATTCACTAAGCTCTGAGTAGTCAAAATGATCTATAAAGTATTCATACATTAGGTATCCAGGCTTAGTAAATGGTAATTTTTATTTGTTTTTTAGAGTCTTCTGCTCAAGAGTTGTAAAGATTTCCGTATTTTGAAAATGTTCATTTTGAGTTTCGCCAGAGTTTTTTTCGTACAAAAACGAAGAAAGTTCTAAAGAATAAAAATTAAAAATTTCCAATATTTTATGTAATAAAAATATTGAAGAAAATATTTTAGAGTTTCCATCAGGCCGTTTCTGCAGGATTTAC